AAGAGTCACGCAAGAGGTATGTTAAAATTACATGCATTGCTCTGTGTACTTAAGTAATCGACACACCTACCAACTCATCCTAAGCAGCAATCGAGAGAGGAACGAAAGAAGACGCTGTTAATACTCATTCGTGCATATATACGAACAATTTTGATAGATAAGATAATAGATTTTTAGATAAATCATACATCGTATTATGTATCTATCCACAACGCAGCTTACCCCAGATTTTAATGTTTTGTCCGGAGACCTCAATGCCGATCGATGAGGTGCTAAAGCGGCATTCCAGGCCGAAGGCGTAAACTCTTCCTCCTCTTCTTCCTCTTCCTCGACACCCAACTCCTCTTCCAATTCGGTATTCGCCGCCGTACTCATCGCTTCGTCATCTTGGTTCGTGGTACTTTTGATCCGTATCTGTTCGATATGCGGTTCGTTGTATCTCTGCGGGCGCGAATTTAATTTAGAAAAACGGTTAGGTTGTATAAAAATTTTTACTGTAATATTTTTTGGTATAGAAAAGAAACGATTTACCTTCCACACAAATTCACCAGAGCTGGAACTGTTGTCCTCGTCTTCCTCCTCTCCCTCTTCATCTTCCTCCTCACCCTCTTCCTCTTCTTCGTCTTCATCTTGACTGCAACATTCATGCTCGGTGGCAAAACTCGTCGACATTAGATCATCTTGTAAGGGAAGAGGTAACGGGAAGGACGAAGGCAATTGTTGCCATTTAGATTCTTCCTCGGGGCTCGGTAACGGCGCGCCTCCGCCCGTTTTCATGATTCCACGTGATTTATCCTCTAATGGACGCACCATCGAACAAGTATAATCCAAATTTTCTTCTTCGGATAAATCGCCGTTCGTGGTGTCCCGATCTTCGTCCTGCAATCGCTCTCCCAGTCCTTCCAATAATATCATTTCGTTGGTACGTGTGTCGACTAGCAACACATCCTCGGACGGCACCGATTCTCTCGAAATGATCGACACTTCCCTGGAGTTTGATACTAAAGACTCGGAAGTGACAGTGCTTTCTCGCTCCTCTAAAATGGGACTAAGCGGCGTTCCGTACACGTTGTACCTGGAGACAGAAAATGTTGTGTTACATTGACAAGTCGCTATTTAAAATGCAGATGGACGATTTATTTTTAATGAAAAAACCGTACCTGATCGAAATGTCTACACCTCCGCCAATTTGATCGTTTGAATCTTCACCATCCTCATCGTCCCATCGTTTACCGTACATGTCGCTGGGAATGGTTGAGCTTTCGTCATCGTGAGCTTCCAAGGATTCTACAATCTGCATTTGAGCCTGTGGCAATTTTTCCCTGAGTTCGTTACGAATTGCCGTTACAAATTCCTCCTCCATGTTGAATGATACGTATGAATTGTCGCTACGCAAGCTCACTGTCGAACTGTCTTCATCCTCGTTTTCATAATCCCCTTGCGAGCACTGCTCATCTCGCTGAGTATTTGCGTCCGCTTTTAAAACGATTTCCGCTTCCGAATCGTGCGATCGATAAATGTTATCTGCAGCTCTAGACCCTTGAGTTTTACATCCAGGAATTACATTTTTCTTTTCCATCTCGATGTTTTTTACCGTGTTTCCTCTCTCATTCGGACTATCCTTCATATCGATCGTTTGGGTCAATTCGTCAAGTTGTTCTTTTTCCACATTCAGCTCATCCACATTCATAGAGTTATGATTTGAAACATTTCGTTTCAAAGGTGATACGTTTTTCTCGACGCCGGGCGTAGAAATTGCACCTTCTGATATACTTTCAGGACCGGCAGTAGCGTAATATTCCGCATCGAGAATAGTATCTAGCTCGAATAGAATCTGAAATGGCTCCTCTTCGGAGTAGAACGATCCAGAAGTAGCAGCGTTATTGGCTGAAGGCAAGGGATTACCAGACGTCGGCAGACAAACCGCTTCTTCTTCCTCGCAAGACTCTTTGTCCCGAAAACCTGAATCGGAGCTCTGCTCGTCATCCGGCGTAGATAGTTGTTTTCGCTCCTCATCGTCGTCGTTTGGCAGCAGTTTTCGCTCCACCTGCACGTTCTCCGCTGTAGAAAAGTTATCATCGGCGCTATAAATCGAATACACGTTACAAAAGTGCGATGCGTCCGGTGTAGATACGGCGGTCACGGTCAGTTCCGGTGCGTTATTTTGTTCAGTCGATACCGATTCTACGTACTCGTTAAATTCCGTTTCGTCCGAGAAACCGGGTATTTTGTGTTCTAAAGCGGAATCTAATGCATGATTCCAGAGCAAAACGTCCACCGCATTGTGTTGATCGGTCTCGATGTTACTCGTGATAAAACGATCGGGAATATCGTCGTCAATCGTCTCTTTATTAACGAACGATATATCGCTCGTCTCATCTCTCCTTCTCACTTCTTCTTCGACAGATGACGTTTGGTCAGGTACATAGCGAAGAAGAGGGAGATCCGGATCTCCCTTCGACAAGAGTCTTAATACGTGCTTTTCATTGCGCTGCGTGTTATCCGCGTTAGTCTCGGATGACGCGTCGTTGTTGTTTTCAGGAGTTCTTCCCGCGCTGTCTAAAGATAATCGTAAAATCGGCGTATGGCCCTGATCCATGGTCAGGGTCAAAAGTTTCGGCCGTTCTAAATTTTCCAGCGATCTAACTTTATTGGTGACATTATTATTTGGCAACGGATCCCGTAGCTTCTTCAACGCCTCGTCGAACTCGTCCGCGGGAACGGTGTGTTTTAGATCACTGTCGCTACCAGTCGTGGATAACTTCTTCTTGACGTTTTTTTCCGACGATGAGATTTGCGCTCCCATTGACCATTCCGCATCGGAATCGGGATCAATGTGTACAAGCACCATAAGGTCTGTCACGGACTTAGACTTTTGTTTCACCTTTTCCGTATAAACGCCCTTTTCTATCCGACCCTTCCAGCTCTCCTCCTCGGTTTCCGAGCCGGATTCCTGAAATACCGGAGCAATCTTCATCCCGGGAATGTTTCTCACCTGTTCATCGGGTCCGAGACGAAACGAGGACTGTTGTAACGTGTCCGTTATCGGTACATCGTCCACGATGTGAGTCCAGTAGTCGGAGTCGATGCTTCCGCGTAAGTCTTGCAAACTGGCACTTCGTACGTGCTGCTTGCCGCAAGCGTTCGCGCGTAAACTCTCCCAGCGTTGCTCGAAATCCGCGTGCACTGAATGCTCTTTCAGAAGAATTTGTCTCACGTCGTCCAAGGAGGGTCTGTCCTTCGCGTTAACATTCAAACACAAGCGAGTCACTTGACATATATTCGACGGGCAATTAATGAGGTAGCTTTGCAGCAGCCGCGTACCATTTGGCGAAACTGGATTCTTCAGAGATAAGATCATCTGAATAACCTGCTCGTCGTTCATGTCATTGTAAGGCCTCTCGCCCCAACTGATGATCTCCCACAAAAGAACCGCGTAACTCCACATATTGGCCTTTAACGTGATTTCTTGCGTTTCGATCGTGGTATCTGTACAGTTCAAGCTTTCTGGCGCGGACCACCTGATGGGTAAAGCCCGATCTCCTATTATGTAGTAGTCCTCGGGATATTTCTCGACACCGGTGCCGTAATCTCCTAGTTTAGCCGATAAATCTGGAGCGATCAAACAGTTCCTCGCAGAGAGATCCGTATGCGCAAAGCCATGATTGTGCATGTGTTTCAAACCAGCCGCGATTTCTATAGCGATTCGTATCGGAACATTTTCCTTGGTAAGCGCATCCATCGACGTGGTATCGCGATTCGATAACAAGAAACCTTTCAAATCGCCGGCCGGACACGACTCAAATAATAAAAGATACGGATCAGTTTCCAAGCAGAAACCGAGTAGAGCTAAAACATTCTGATGGCGTAGTTTCAAGTACGGCGTGGCCTCGCCGAGAAACCAGGCTTTTTCTCTAGTGGTAGCCTCTTCGGTGAGAATTCTCACGACCACACCGCCTGATTTCGATATACCTTTCGACTGTTCCAAATCTGCCCGACCTTCTACAACCTTGCCGAACCATCCATGACCTATTTCTCTAAGATACTTGAGTTTTTCTCTTGGTACATAAAGTTCATTGGAGCTAAACCATTCGCTATATGGCTCCTGTAGGATAGAACGATCTGTATCTTGATCTTCGTTACGTGGTGCTAATAGAGGTATTGCTTTAGTTTTTGGAGTATTTTTTGTTCCAGATACGATAGAGTCCACTGGTAAAGGTTCAAACTGGACTCTCTCAGAAGCAGCTAACGTCCTGGAAGCATCCAATTCCAATCCTTCAGATCGACCAAATGTGCTTTCCTGTTCTATACTGCTCCCATCCTTGAATTCCTATAATAATAACAATGGTACCATTTTACGCTCTCGCTGACTATGATATAAAAGTGAAAATTTATCGCATACAACAGACTACACATGCTATATTCATTAACATATTTAAAAAAATTATTAGAAAACTTAAAATTTATACTTAATACTATACAAACTACAAATTGTAATAATCAAACCATGTTTTTAAAATTCAAATAGTTATCTTCTCTACACGTTAAATTATAAAAAAATTAGTTCTATAATATTGTATAGAATGCATTAATTGCATAGAGACTCTATCCATAAAAACTTATTAAATAAATATATATAATTATATATCAATATTAATTTATATATAAATATATGTACACTACCGCTCAAAAGTATTTGCTCATCTAAAACAATCGTTCTATAAATGCTAGAAACAATTAGAACATTGTAGTAATTATGTGAAAAGTATTTATTTATGTTTACGTATCTAATTACCAAAAAGATGTGCACATTAATGCTTAAAACTAAATTTTTCCTTCATCTATGTGTCCGCCTTTGTTTTTGATTATAGCGTTAACAAAGCAAAAATGAAAAATGAAATGTTAACAGATAACTGAAGAATATTACGAATGCTTATTATGACTTGGCACAGACCAAATAAACAATGGAAGTTTGGGCGAATTTTGTTTCTAGGCGAATTCCAAGGAATGAGCTGCTGGTGTTTTATGATGTTTTCTATTTATATATTAGTGATTATCAAAATATTATTTCAAAATATTGCCTTATATAACGACGATATATGTGTACATAAAGAGTAAATATAAGTAAAGTGCCAATTAAGGCTTTTATATAAAAATTATCCACGAAACCGATGATGGGTAAATACTTTTGAGCGGTAGTATAAATCATAGTTTATATAGACAGAGTCTGTCAGAATAGCTAAACACTAACTTTGTTTACATTCCCATTTTAACTGACAGTTTATGCAGTAGGATATAAAAAACCTGCAATATCAATGTTACCTGATTGTATTTCTCTGCTTTGCCCTATAATTAAAAAAAATGCAGAGACTGACGTTAGAACTGCAAAGCAACGACATAACTTTTTCTACATTATTTGGAAAAATATGATAAGGATCTCTTCAAACTACCTTAAATCCCTTTGGTCTTCTGTGCCTCTGGCAACAGAGGCAACCGGCTAAAGTTAATGCTGTGGCAGTGACACTTGATAAAGCAATCGCGTAACGCATCCAGTAATGTTCCCATTGCCAAGAACCATGAGTGTGCGGTGAACCTGGGATAATGATAAAGTTCCATTCAAAGGCATTGAATTTCGAATAGACAGTTCGAATAATATTTAAGACTGTTGCTATAAATGTTAGCCATACCATTCTCGTCTGTTTTATCTGATTTTCCATCGTTTTTTGGAGAAAAGAAAAATGAGAAATAGAGAAATGCTCTGCTTCCTGTCTACAAAGTAGCATACATATGTGTATGTATGCATATATATAAAGAAGAATTTAAAGAGATAGAAAAACAATCGAGTTTGGAGTGGTGTTTTACGTCAACGGTTCTCGGAACGAGGAGAATTCGCGAACGAACGGTGTACCTGTGACGAGTGACGTGGGTACGGGGTAGGCTGCGAGCATTGGTAGACCCACCCAAAACAGCCAGCATGCCCAATGTAAGTTCCGCATCGCGTATACCGGGGATGAGTTATCCGCTTTCGACGAGCTTGCCTAAGTCATTCTCGGCGAGAGAAGCAACGAAAGTCGTCGAGGACGGTCGTCGATGCTCATAATCCTCGCCTCGCGTGTTCCTTGCGCTCTCGTGACATCAGCGCTGGCGAAAGGTGGCGACGCGCATAGCACAGACACGCTTTATCCGCACCGTACATGATTGCTAACGAGCTTTGATAACATTGGCGCGTGATGTAAAGAGCCTTTCTTACGCCATATCACTCGTATATCATTCTTGTGTCAAAAGAAAGAAATGTCAATGGAGATGTTTTCTTTTCTTTTTTTTCTGTTTTTTTTTTTCCTGCGCGGATTACGTAGTACGAATCGAGAGTTTAGTCTGTGTTATCCCACGGATTAAGGAATAATCGAATCGGGTGTGAAATATCCGCTGAATTATGATGGCGAGGGGGAGACACTTCGAGGATAAGGACGATGGCGAAATTGATTTGTTACGCCATGTTAACATGGTTTTTTGACATGTTGAACGAGATACGATTGGTTCTGATGGGTGTCAACAATATGGCGTATTTACTTTTTTTTTAGGTTCTCTTATAGCGAATTCAGTCATTTGCACTGCGCCGCACTGGTGCATATTAAAGACTACTATACATGTGAAGTTATCTAATAAAAAAGAATAATATAAACATTTTAAGTAATTAAAATCCAATCATGATAAATTGTCATTTTATTTAACGGAACATACATTATTTTTTCATCATCAAAATGTTTATATATTATATCATTGCATTCATATACTTCATAAATAGCAGCCTTTAATGTGCACTGGTGTGATGTAGTGTAAGTGACCGAATTCGCTATAACCATAGACATAGTATATCTAGACCGAGCGTTTGCCTTTATTTAAGGAGTAGGGGCCGATGCCCACGTAGAAAAGGACATACTCTGTTTCGTGCCCCTTGCGTTCTCTCTCGCTCGCACGTAGCATGACGAAAGAGAGCGCTATGCTCTGTGTGAGCGAGAGAGAAC